CTATAACAGACATAATTTCTCGTTCAGTTACAAAGTCCCGTTTCAAGTCCCGTTAATTGCTGTGCTGAGAATACCGACTAACTCAATCGAAATTTTTTTCGTTTTCACTAACCTCTCTTGTCACATTCTTCATGTCTTTATCCATTTTTTGCAGCAATTCCACTTTTTGTTTGTTGGACATCACGAAACATACTTTCGTTTTGTAGATCCTTTGGAAGTTCCAGCATCGAAATTCTATTTGACATAATCGAAGTTCAAGTTTTACTTTTATAAAATTGCTCTTACAGTCTGGCAAAAAATAATAAGCCGGATCCAATTCGAAGATTAAGGAACAACGCCAATTATTACATTAACTGAAATAGATAATTCGATAATTTAGCTTACTTACACCACCGTCCGTTATACATTAACGCGCAGGCGAAAACGTATTCTGCACTTGCGCACACGCATATGCGCAGTAGTCAAGGTCTTACGCGCACGCGTAAAACACCTGTGCGCATGTGCCGCGTTGGCACATGTGCACAGGCGTTTTCTGCGCATGTGCGGTGGGTGTCCGAATTAATGACTTTTGACTGTATATCAATTCACTACAATATTCAGACAAAATGTGCAAAAAATGACTAAGAAATTGTTTAAAAAACTGAAAGCGAAATTGATGCAGGAAAAGTGATGATATGCCATCATCAATCAAATCAAGAACAGCACTGCAAATTTTAAGAAAAATTCTTGAACTGAAAATATGCTGATCAAAAAAGTTATTAGCAGTATTATGAGATTAGGAATACAATTGAAAAACTGTTGTTGAACAAAACAAGCACAGATAGAATAGTTGTTTGTAAATGAGAAAATTTTATCAAGAACATAATAATGAAAATATTTTTATACAAATTTTTAAATGAATTTCGAAATTGTATAAATAGTTTCATTTCAGTATTAATTTTAGTTATTATTTTATGATTAATTAAAGAATTAATTATTAGTTATTATTACACTAAAAAGTTTAAAACTGATATCACTAGATATAATATAAAACTCGTCGTCTATTAAACTGAGTCACTTAAAAGCTCAAATATGTTTCGAAGCGCCGGGCACTCTATAATTGCTTATCAAATTGAGAAAACATGAATATTTTTTACAAGGATCTATTAACTTAGAAATTTGTTTTCTTACTAACTTTAAGACAGTTTTCAACAAATTAAAGGTAGTAAAATGCACATAAAATGCAAATTATACAAGGTCCAGCTATTAATTTCTGGGACTGACGTAACTGTAGAACGAAAAGTTGGAAGATGGTGCCAATGATTGCATACTGAAGAGCGTTTTCTTGCGCATGTGCAGTACAATCGGCGCCATTCTGAAATAAGTGGTTCTCGTGGAAAGGCGCATTAAAATGTAGCTCTTAAATTCCTATTTAAGTGAAAATAGAGCAAAGAATTAACATTAAATTTTGCTTCAAATTGGGCAAGACAGCTGTGGAAACCTGCGAAATGTTAAAACAAGTTTACGGTGAGGAAGCAACATCCCGCTCAAGAACTTTTGAATGGTTTAAACGCTTTTGGGACAGACACGAAAGCGTTGAAGATGTTCCACACACAGGTCCGCCGTCAGTATATTTTTCAGCATAGGGGCTAAGTATAGTTTTGTTGCTACTAGTTTTAATTATGAACAAATAAAAGATTTTGCTTTCACGTTTGCCATTATGTCAGTACATGCATCTTTAGCATTATATAAGAATCACATAAGAGGAATTAAACTTGAAGTGATACCCTTTAAAAGGATATATGATAAGCACATTATTATTTTCAGGATACAAAAGAGGAGAATGAGAGGGCTTTACAAGGAAAAGTCAGAATTTCATTTTACAAATACATATGCATTACCAGAAAAAACAGACACAAACATTAGATGCAAACTTAAATCTGTATGCCTTCTTATTATATATATATATATATATATAACAAACATTCTCTATTCATAAAAAGCAAATGAAGTTTATTAAATTTTAAATAATATATATATATATATATATATATATATATACATATACATTAACATTAGAGTTACGGGAACCGTCATTTTGACTGTATCTGCATTTTAATTGGACATAACTTTTTTAATTCTTTATAACTTTGATATTTTTTAACTTTTTCTAAAAACTTACGAATATTACATGATATTTTTTCTGTTCATTTTAAGGAATTATTTTCGATGATATTATTGTTTATACCTAGAATACCTATTGGTCATTTTGAACGCATTGAGAAAATGATAGATTTCTCAATATTTTCATGACTTTTTTAGCTATTTCCAGTTTGCCGATAGATAAACAAGTGTATTTTTGGTAACAAAGATTGCACATTTCACAGAAGTGAGTGGGGAGGGGGGGATAAAAACACCTGCTTGGAATTTTGCGCACAACGTGTCTGTGCATTTCGCTTATGTTAGAAAGTAATTTTTCAGTAGAAAGAAATGTACTTTACTTCATTTGGAGAGTGTTTTGTTGTTCTGGCCTACTTATCATGTTGTGCAGAAGCACTGGTAGAAAATATCTAACGAAGGAAGAGATGCTGAAAGTTTTTGAAAGTCTTTCTGATGATAATTCTGCTCCAGAAACTGAACCAATGAAGAATTTTATACCAAAACTACATCCAGTTTATCCGAAGAGGACTAGATTGTTCCTACTGAAACTAGTGAATTCAATTGATCTGATGGAGAACATGCTCACGAAATGGTAAAGGAAAGTAAAAATTTAGATTAAAATCATAAAGATTGCAAATTGATCCATTTGCCTTTGTTTTAGATATTTGGAATGCTTTTATATAAAAATGCTTGAAATGTTATAAACCGAGCGAAAATATAACAGTGGATGAACAATTATTTCCCATGTAGACCAGATACCGATTTATTCAGTATATGCCTAAAAAAGCCGGATTAATTCGCATTAAATTTTAGCTTACTACTGATGTGCAGTCAAAATATTTACTGAACAGATTTCCCTATTTGGGAAAAGATGAAACAAGACCAGCTGGAGAAACAGCAGGTGAACATGCAGCTTTTCACTTGATGGAACTGCTGAAATTAGTAAAAGAAATGAAGAATTCAGGGATAAGCTGCCGTGCCACAATAAATCATTAAAAAACAGAAGTATGTTATTCTTTCAAAAAACGAGAGATGTGCTCTGTTCTACTAAGACTACTAAGCATGACAATATAACGCTTACATTTTATCAAGGGGGAAAAAAGAAAAACAAGAACGTCCTGCTCATGAGAACATGCACCCAACATTGGAAATCTCATCTGATGAAAAAATACACTGGAAGTTTTGAATTTTTACAATTCCACCAAATATGGAGTTGATGTTTTGGATCCGATTTGCCAAAAAATACTCAATGAAGTTTTTTTTTTTTTTAATATTCTTGATTTGGCCGTGATAAATGCATGGATAATTTACAAGGAGAAAACTGAATATAAAGAATATCAGCCATCATGATTTTATTTTGAATATGGCTGGAGCTTTGAAAGATGTACATTTCATCCTAAATTCACAAACTTTCTATATCTAAAAAAAAAAAAAAAAAAGGTGCTGGCATCATCCCTTCCCATTGGCATAAACAATGCCAAATAAATGCATGCAGAGGCAACAAAACTTTGAATACGTGTAAGTATTGTAAAAAAAATATGTTTGTGGAACCTGTACAGGTAAAATTAAAAAATCAGTAATCTGCATGCAACACCAGTAATGTAAGTACTAATATGTGTAATTTTTAATATATCTATTTCATATTGAAAATTTTTATGATGCAATTTATTAAATGATAAAAAAGATTAAAAATATCTAAAATGACTTTTCCCCCCCTTTTTTAGCTCTTTGTTATATTAAATTATTCTTTGATTAAGATATTTATTCACTTTGTTTTATTTTGCTCTTTGTTACATTAAATTATCTTTTGGTTGCATGTATTTTACTCAATTTACTTTATTTGCTTATTAAACAAGCAAAATGTATCATTACAAGCATTAACTTTACATAATATTAACAAAAGGCGAGCCTTTTCTTCTATTCAGAACAAGCAGTTAAAATGACTGCTAATCATAGTTATAGGTATACGGGAAACAACATAATGCTAGTGTTATTGCACAAGGTAAATCTATTTTCCCTTCCTAGCATGAGTAGAAAGAGCAGAGCTTGCCAGTTTAGGTACTGAGATCTTTTCAGTTTTAAATTTACATATATTTTAAGGCTACCAAAATTTTCATGTACTTCCAAAAGCATATAGGAAATTAGAGTCTTTTTTTCGTCTTTTATGAATTAGCAAATTACTATTTTAAACCATTTTTCATAAGATATATACATACATGTACCTTCTAAAACTTTTACAAGCAAATTTTCCTCATATATAAAAGCTTTTTATTCAATTAAAATAAAAGTAATTTATTTTAACAAAGAGAAAAAAATATTTTCTATTCCTGTCTCAAAGTTATTTGAAGAAACCAACAAATAAGTTTATAAACAGGGTAATATTTTTATATTGAAATAATATTAACTTACACCATAAAAATTATTATAGGAACAATAAACTCTCCTACATAACATAATTGATATAATAAACTATTATTCTCCATTTTATACAAAGCATTTGATCTACTGTTAAAGGGGGGGATGATAATACTTAAGTAGCTTAATTTACATAGCATTTAATATTGTTCATAATTTGAGTTCATTCTGTAGGTAGAGAGAAAATAATCTAAAACTAATTCTCCAATACATAATAGTTAATTGGGAAGGAGCACAGAAAACAAATTCATACAGTAACAAGATAAAAAACACACACATTTTAGAAAAAAAAGTTATGCAAAAACACATGAGATGTTACATTATGCTAACTTACTTTTAAAAGCTTATTTACTCTAATTATGAGTCAGATTTTTTTTGCAAGTTATTCCACAAATGCAGCTAAAAATTGCTATAATATACTCAAGCAGACTCTTCATGGTTCTTACTTAGGTGTTAGAAAATTTTCTACTAGGAGTTCCATAGGTGGTTCAGCATTAAAGGGTTTTGTAGAACGAGGTTTCAAAATTGGATGCCGTCGAGGATCTGTAGCAAATGGATCTTCCATATTTTTTATGTCTTGGCCTCTGTCCTCGACTCTCAAATTTCCAATACGATATTCTTCCAACATTTTCAGTACCTACACAAAATAATATAATTTCTTTCAAAGCATAATGTACATTAGGCATGTCAATTTTGAGTATAATGCAATAGAACTATGGAATATTAAGCAACAATTTTTATTTTATATGTATTGGAAAATAATGATTGCATAATTACGGTCCTATATACTGTTATTTAATAATGTAGTTCTTTCTGCATATTTTTATGAATATGTTTTACACATTCATGATACTCAGCTGTAAGAAATAAGGAAAGCGACAGCAATATTGAAATCCTACAATTGGCAATAAAATTTATTATTCACACATAAAAAGTATTAAAATAACGCCCAGGCCTACATTCAATCGATCTCATTCTTTTTATATCATTGGAAATGAAATTTCTCTTTAGGTAATTAAATGATATTTGCAAATTTTATTGCTTCTAACACATTTTTTATTCATATACTAGCAGACAAGCTCGTTAGATGAGCAGACTATGGCCAAAGCAAAATTTGTAAGTTCTATGTACACCTGAAAGGAAAATGTATAACAACATTTCAGTATGAATGAAATCAGTTCATTCTTTCCAACAAAAATCAATTTGTAAATAATCCTTTTGTTCTCAAACCAGGAAACAAAAACTTTTGATACATCAGGTTAATATGTATATATATGACATCATGATTTTAATTTAATGCAATATAACACTTTTTCTCAATATCAATAAAAGTATTAACATGGCAATAACATACCATGTCAATTATCGTAACTTGAAACAAAGAAGTTGCCAACAACAGCTACTTATTTGAAATGTTAACATTAACGGAAAATTTTCAACAAAAATGATATCGCATACTGTTGCATGCTTTGAACATCAGAAACATTTTTAATGTTTGGCTCTCGTTCATCATTGTGGTTATTGGCAATGCTTTTTTTTATTTCATGTTATGTAAAACTTATAAATTTTTTATTAACAAAGTCTGCGATTTGAAAGCAAGCAGTGTCAACACATTTCGAAATAAAGCAGATTTTTATCTCCAGCGTGTGAAACTAATGCTCCTCAGAAAAACGAGAGTAAAAATTAGCAGTTTTGGAGTTTTTTAATTAATATCTTAGCTGGTTAAACTTGTACGAAGATGAGAATGGTTGAATTGGCTTCTCATGGATTTTTGGAATCCGGAAATACCTCTTTTGAAACTCAACTTCCCGCCGTTTCAGAGATGATGTCACAAACAAACAGACAGACATGCACAGACTGTAACAATATAGATTATATTTTAGCATTTTGAAAAAATAACATATAGTAAAATATCTATAACGGGTCAATAAACATGGCAGATCCTAATTTACGGCACCACTAACGAATCTTTTCAAAATTATTTTGGATAATACTATAAAAAACTGATTTTATGAGGATTAGTTTTCTATAAAATACGAGGGTTGAAACTTTAATAATGGCAATACAGCTGAAAAAACGCTACGCAACAAAACCAGAGAATATCGCGTGTACCACACGTCAACTACATACCTACCTTATCTCTCAGCAAAAAGACTCATCCTGCCTACGTCATGCGAAGAATGGATCCTTGTATTAGCTCGCGGTCTAAAGTAAGTGTTGTCAGGATGTTTTCAAAACAAGAACAACGATGTTGGATAAAAATTGAATGTGCCAGAGGTCGTACAGCACGACAGTGTCATTAAGGGCTTCAAGAGGCTTGCGGGGAATCTGCATTGCCTTACAGAACAGTAGCAAGATGGGTGAAAGCATTCAATGAAGAACGCCAAAACGTGGCAGACATGCAGCGTCCAGGTCGTCCGAGTGTCAGCGATGCAGACGTGCAAGCTGTTGCTGCACTAATGGACAGTGATCGCCGCCAAACGATTCGTCAGCTGGCCGGACAAACAGGATTAGCGCATACGACTGTGCTGCACATTCTGAAGCAACGCCTGTCCATGAGAAAAATTGCTTCACGATGGGTCCCACATCAATTGACGGAAATGCAGAAATGGCTACGATATGATGCTGCCCAAACCCACCTGGAGCGCTATGAGCGCAAAGGAGATGCTTTTTTATGCCGTATCGTTATGCTGGATGAGACTTGGGCCCGATCGTACCAGCCAGAACTGAAACGCCAATCAAACGAATGGCGTCATCACGGGTCACCACGACGTTCGAAATTTTGTCAGAACCCCAGCAATGTGAAAGTTTGGTGATTCTCGTGTACGACTGTGATGGTGTCATCCTAACGCATACCGTTCCCCCACAGCAGATTGTCACTGTGTAGTATTACTGCTCATTTTTGGAGCACAACCTCCGACCTGCTTTGAGAAAAAAACGGCGACATTTTCTGCAGAAAGCTCCTATCATTTTACATGACAATGCTCGGCCGAATGCAGTGCAAGCTGTGACTGATTTGTTCAAGCGATGGGGCTGGGAAGTGCTTTACCATCCACCATACTCCCCAGATCTAAGCCCTTGTGACTATGGCTTAATCACTATTCCTAAGATGAAGGAACCACTTCGTGGCACTCGCTTCCAAACTGTTCCTGAGATTCTTGCAGCAGTAGACCGGTCCATTCAAACTATCAACAAAACAGGCGCTGCTACAGGTATTCTGCGACTTCCACATCGTTGGAAACGGGTTGTACACAATGCTAGCGACTATATTGAAGGACTGTAAAACATGGTGGCATGAATCACTTTTGTATTCCTTGTAAATAAATAGTTGCCACTATTAAAGTTACAACCCTCGTAGCTTGACTAAGTTTGGGATTGTTATTTTAAAGGAGCTAAAACAAATGGTTCATTATAGGTGATGACTCTCTGGGCAACATGACTCAAAAAGAAGATCTACCAAGGGCTAAATTGTTTGAAAAAAATATACAAACAACCATACACAGAATTTAATATTTATTAATAATCGCAATATAGCATATTTAACATAGTGTTTCATGAAATTACATTTATAATTCAAAATATATTTACCAAGAAACAAATATAAGCATCAAAGTTTTAATGTGAAAACACTGACCCTGTTTTTCTTTTGAATATCAGAGCATCTACTATAATTAATTGCAATGAGTATCAGTAATGCTATTCTTCTAAAATTCTTGTTTTTTTTTTTTTTTTTTTTTTCTTACTTTTTATGTTTTATATGTGGCAAAGTTGCTTGCAAACATACATACTTTAAAAAAGAAAAGAAAGAACACATGATAAATAGATAATGCCTATAAAGTGAAGTAAAATATTTTGAAGTTTGGTGAAATTTATACAAGTAAATGTACTTTGCATAGTTTCTTCTAAATTAATTAGAGTTTACAGATAAATTTCATATCATTTACGAACAAATTAGGAAATACATTGAAATCCAGTTGGTGTTTTTTCAACTTCAAATCTGTTTCTCAGAATTATATCACAAGCTGACAATGCCATATTTCTTTCACTATTTTACATTGATTATCCACAGAAAGATCCACAGTTGTAGCTTTTAATATGAGATTGCTACAATTTCAATTTCATTTCAGATGGTGGGTTTTCTGGTGCAAAACATTAAAGGTTATATATGTCAGACATTTTTAAAATGCAAGTGATTGATAAGCAGACATACAGAACAACAGACAAGATTAAAACCACAGCAAAGTGTGGTTTTAGTCCAAAGAAACTGATAAAATGATGAATGCTGAGATGAAGTTACCTATAATTTAGATAATGATGTCAGATGTGAAACTCTAATATGATAAAACATGATATATATTAAACTGGTATTATTAAAACTCCAAGATACAACATCTAAACAAATTGGCATTCACTTCTTTTCTGATAATACAGTCAAAATTATTAAAATGTCTTAATAGAAATCTTTTAAAATACGAACACAGTTAAAAAATGATGAAATGATATTACAGCATTACAGCTGAGGCAAATCAGTTCATTCTCTCCTTTTAGTGAATAATTGTGGGTAATTCACGAGTGACCGATTCTAAGGTGGGTTAACATAACAATAGGGGCGCTTCCTTCTTATGAAAAGAAGGAAAAGAGTTTAGGCAAAACTGCCCATTACTCTTCCGCCATTTGATCATTTAAATCAAGGGATTTAAATGGTAACTCCCGTAAAAGGTAAGTAATAAATAGTAAGATCTCAAACTGACACCAAATCTATAGTATCAGCCAAAAGATCCCATCTCTAAGTTCAAGGTGTCGGCTGGATTGTGAAAACTTCCCTATTGGATGGAAAACCGATTCATCCCTCCCAAACCACCAAACGCAAATTCTTGACCAAAACAAGAGTGCGAGGATGGAGAGTCAAATAAATAAATACTAATAAGGAGGGCAAAAAAAAAAAAAAAAAAAAAAAAAAAAAAAAAAAAAAATCATAGGGCGTCTTAATACTTGTTCTTGTGGTTTCAAATTCACCGTTACCTGTAGGTGTTTAGATACATCAGAACCCTATTATGCCAGAGAGCCCTTGTTATAAAGGGCTTGATCAAAGGTAATATAGGGAAACCCAAGAATTGTTTCTAGGGACAGAGAACACTGGACATCGTCCCAGAGGTGAAATGGTGTTTCCTCTTCTCTCCACAAGCTGGGCAGAGAGGAGATTCGACAAGACCACATTTGTGGAGATGCTTAGCTAGATAAGCATGTCCAGTAACAATTTGAATACCTGGTGTAAGTTTCGTTCTACTGAGGTGTATGAGTTTAACCTGAAAAGTTAAGTGTACTGAGCACCAATTTAGAATGAGCACAGTCTGGTAGTTTAGACCATATATCATCATGTTGTCCTTATATCCAGCTTCTTACTTCCTTTTTTTTTAAAAAACCATTTGATATGAAACTGGGTAAAATGGTTCTGGGGCCAGACATGGGTAGTTGCGAAGCATCTTTAGCTACTTTATCAGCTACTTCATTTCCAGCAAAATCACAATGACCTGGGACCCAGACTAAACTAATGGTATTATGGGCCTGAGCCAGAGAATTGAGATCTTGAGTACAGTTCAAAACACAGATTTGTAACTACTTGAAATGATTAAACAG